ACACCAAACAACGGTCTAAAAGACTATCAATAAAAATCGGACGAGAAACTGATAGATTAATAGAAGATTATATTTTATAGATTAGTTTATATTATATTTTCCTTAAACGTTAATGCGCGCATGCAACAGGCGCTAGAGCATTATCCTTCTATAAAGTTGGTACAAGTTATCCGATAGTAGTACTTTTGCTTATAGGTAATGTGGTTTATCCTCATCCGGCTAGTTGCCATTCAGAGGCCAAATTTCCAAGGCCCGTAAAGACGAACTCAGCTCATTAAAAAGCATAATTACCCGCTTGCAGACCAAAAGTAAGCGATTTTGAGAAGAATGAAGGAATTAGTGTGAAAAACAGAAAAAGTCAAGTCGGAATGATAGCATAAAGAAAGCGGGCATATAGCTGTAGAATGCAATTTGACCCACAATTTTATTTTATTTTAATTTTTTTTTCATCACTATATCAAGGATGTAAATTAACAAAAAAAATATTTTTACTTGTGACTTTATTGTTTTTTTGAATGAGTTTTCTTTATGTTTTTTCTTTTTATACCCGTTTTACAATATAGTTACGCTTATTTGAGTAAAAGCTTAAATATGTTTATTATTTGAGTAAAAACCCGCTTAAAATTTTTAATTGAAGATGATAATTAATGTTTAGAAATTATTTTAAAAATAAGGAAATAAATAATGTTATACTCGGTTTGAATTGCAACGTAATGAAGCACAACGCGCCCAAGGTTTTATGAAAAGTCCATTGGAAGAAAATTCCTGGCTAGCCTTAACAATTGTCGGTTTCAAGATCATTAGATTTACTGACTCAGGTAACGTTTCAGGTATTACTGACTTCAGGTAACGTTTCCTCAATCAAATTCAGCATATCAGAATATGTGACAAAGCTATAGAATTATCTTGGACTAAGTAAAGATCAATTAATGATTTTTGTATAGTTTTTTAATTTGTAATACAGTTTAAGCATTAACAGAAGGCTGCTCCAACGTCTTTTGCAGTCCATTATTAAAGACATTTTTTTACTAAACTCAGCCTTGATACATTTTTGTAAGATGTCGTTCATGGAAAGTAATCATCTATATATTAGTATCAATTTGCGTATATTTTTTTAGTGGGTCATAAAGAAGTTCATTTAGTTCAATTTTAGGTCTTAAATATATGAACGTAAATATTCATACATGGCTTGTCCAAGATAGGGAACGACAGGAACGCCGAAAAACTGGGAGCACAAAATGAAGGGAAAAATGTACATAAAGCGGTCAAAATAAAAATTTACTTTATAATTTATTGATTTCATCTTTGCCTAAAGAAAAGGAGACATTTACAAAAATTTAGAAAAAATTTGAATTTCTAGGTTTGTTTGAAAATAGGAAACTTAGTTTCTTTCTTGGCGAAACTTCAATTTCTTGCTTGGGAAAAAAATTGTTTTGATTTTGTACGAAAATATGGCAAAATTTTCCTTTAGTTATCATTGTTATTTATATTTGAATTTTAATATTCATTAACAAAAAGTTAAAGTCATTACTGCTTTATAGACTAATACAGTAATCGCTTAAAATCGCTTACGATTATAATTAACAAGTCATACTGTATAACTGTGATTACTGCAGTAGTTGCACAATATAACTAAGCCACGTACGTCATGAAATGTTATAAAATGTAGTTTACAAATAAGTAGCTTAAAATGTCATAGTTTTCGTTGAAACGAGGTTGACAGCACAGCCTAAATATAATTTAGCATCACTGCGAGTTGTCTATAATCTGTCAGTGACTGATTTATTTCACAAAGATGATAATTTCAAAATAATTTCATAGAAAAAATAAACCATCAAAGCAGCAAATCGAAAAAGACAATTGCAATTTAAGCGAGAAAATGAAATATCTGCAAAGTTATTTACAAAATATTTTCAAGTAGAGTTCAATAAAAGTGAAGAAATTGGTTGCCCTTTGTCATAAGTTATTCTTTTTTAGACAAGAAAATGGAAAAAAGTAGTCCTAAAAAAACATGTCAGTCTCCTAGTTGCTGGCTATAATTAAGAATCATTTATATTTAATTGAACATCACTGCTGGTTACGTTCAAATAGATATAAATGCGTCAATTCCCCTCAATTCTAAAATTCGTGTGTTACTGAGTTTCCATAAGATCGTAACAATTGTTATTTTCTGAAATTATTATTGTACAGAAAATTAAATAATGGCGAATCTTATTTGAAAATCTGGCTACTATATTCATTATGTTCCAATAAAGTATTTTGTGTTTGTTGTAAGCTTTATTATTCAAATAAACCTAAATCATTATTGGCCACAGTTTAAATCTATAACTGGTAACGTGTTACTGAATATTTGAAATCACATGAAAAATCCACTGAATATTTGAGGTGTTTTACTAATTGGTTTGATGCTAGTCGTAGGCTTGAAACAAATAAAACTATTGATAAAAAATAGCAATCTTTAATTATTAGAGAAAGAGATCGTTGGCGACTTGTGTTAGATCGCATGTGCAACAAAACTTTGTACCTATCGAAAAATAACTTATCTTTTCGTGTTTCTTCAGCCAAATTATTTTCTCTTCAAAAGTTGTTGAAAGATGTAAATTTAAGTCTAATTAATTGTAGAGAGCAAGGATATGATAATGGTGCAAATATGAAGGGTAAAAATAAAGGCGTACAAGCTTGAGTTTGTGAACTAAATCCAAGAGATTTTTTATGTGTATGGAATCGTAAAAAAAAGTAACGACTTCGACTCTGACTGATTATGAATATAAGGTAAATTGAATGTTTTGTACAGGCACGTGCAATACCGAGAAGTTTTACTATTGGAGTCGGAGTCGCGATTTTGTTTAATGACTCCGACTCCGACTCTGCTGAAAATGTCACAACTCCGCAGTTCCGACTCCGACTCTAACTCCGACTCCACAGCCCTGCTTGTGGATGTAATTCTCTAAATTTAGTTATAAGTAATTCATCATCTTGTATTGAGTCGATATCATTTTTTAGAATTGTCTAACAAATATATACACTGTTTTCAGCTTCAGTATCTAGATGGAATATACCAAAAGGTCATGTATCCAATTTTACTTCTTTGTGAAACTCAATTAAAAAGTCAAATTCAATGTTAAAAACCAATACGGTATCAAATAGTGAAAATTTACAATGCTTTAGTAACTTTGAGTGAAACTCATATTTCCATTAAACTAGAAGCTTAAACATTTTCTGATAAACATTTTGTCTTTTTTGATAATGCTTGTTACCTGGTTTAATATTTTATATCGTGCAAATATTATTAGCAAATCCATACAGCCATGGATATAGCCTCAGAAGTTTCATTTATGAAATCATGTACAGATTTTGTGATAGAATATAGGGTAACTGGTTTTGAAAATTCTCTAGTGAATGAAAAAAAGTTGGCTGAATCTTTGCAAGTTGAGCTTATTTATAAAAAGATTACGCCGTAAAAAAAATGTTTGCTTTTGAGAGTAGAGATGCAATTGTAATAATTCCAAAGAACATTTTTAATGCCATAACATCTCTTCAAAAAAGATTTTACAACTGAATGAATTTCACCAAACATGGGAAATTTTATATAATCTGAAGAAATTTTCCTGCGGACAATGACTTACATAAATTTTGAAAAGGTCTGCATTTGAAATTAAAAATGGAAAATAATTGCGATATTGATGGCACAGAATTGTTTGACGAGTTGAAATTTATATCTACCCTTTTGCCTAAAGATACTCTTGGACGTCCGCTAAATGTCTTGAACTTTATAAAATCAAGTGAATGGCAAATTGTGGTTCTTATTATTTGGATTTTATTACGAATGTCTGTCAAACTCATTACTGTTGCAAGTGAGAATTTTAGGAAACTGAAGCTAATAAAAAAATATTTAAGATCTACTAAGAGTGTCGAACGATTGAATAGCTTAATCTATAATACCCATCGAAAATGAAAGAGCGACACAATTAGACATAACCAAAAAAATCAAGAACTTTGAAGATTTAAAGGCTAAAAAAATTAACTTTTACTATTGTATAAAGTTTAAATTGATTCCTGTTTAATCTTTTAAACAAATTTAGGATTTGTATTTGGACCTTAATTTCTTTAGTTATTTAATCTTCCTTTTAAAAGACAAAACGTTGACCTATTTTTTTCTGCAAATCAAACCTTTTCGATAATTTTTTTTATTGCACAGCTAATAATACAATTATTTTCTGCAATTTTATAATATTTCTAAGCTATTTTATTGAGACGCATTAGTTGTTGTAATTTTTTTTCAGTACGTTGTTATATTTTTTCAGTACGTTGTTTTTTTGCTCAATCTTATAGGAAATCCCGGATTTGATAATAGAGAATCCCAGGATTTCGGAATATATAAAAAACCGGGATCCCGGGATTGCAATCGCTAATCAATATTTGTTGTTTTTATGGTTTTTTTAGATATACATATGTCAACTTCTAATCAGGTCAGATAATTGTCTAAATAGAAAGTATTTCTTTCACGTGAAGTTGAAGATTGCTTTAATATTTTTCTGGTCTTTTAGATCTAATTTTTCTACGGTTTACAAACTATTTTTGTTAAACAACTTGTTACAAAAATCATTTATAGTTAATCGCGAAGTTAGAAATATATTGATCATCTTCACTTTTTGAAAAATGGAGTTATTGTGTTATAATGTTTTTCTACTGTATGAAACATAAGTAAAAAAATTACGGAGGATACATAAGTTATAAAAATGTTTTTATACGGCGTCTTGTGAAAATTTCATTTTTTAAATTGTTTTATCCCTTTTTGAATACCATCATGATTATCTAAAAGAGATGAAACAATAAACGATTAACTTATCTAAATTGAATCAGTCTATAGCAGCTAGCAACTATACTCTAATTTGTATTTATCTCTCTGTCCTCTCGATTGTTCTAATTTTGTTGTTGACACCAACTTTGTAGATTTAGCAAATAGATTATATCTGTTGTGAGTTTACTGTGAAGCTGTTTTTAGTTTGTTGTAAGATAAAAATGGTGATCCACAAACATTAACATTTTAAAGCGCGTTTTTTGCAGAATTATAAATCAAAAGTATATGTCTTTTAAAATACCACGTCAAGAAATTTATTTACTATTTTAAAAACTGTAAAACATATTCTGTTCTTTTTTGACAAATATTAACGTCTAAGTAAACAAATTCAATTTTGTTGGCAAACATAAAAATTGAGAAGTTTTTTACAGGTGATATTAGAAGTACTCATTTACAGATGATATTGGAGTTTGAAAAGTTATTTTCAGTAAAACATTCTTTCGTAACAAACCGTTGTTTAAAATTAAATGGAGGAAGAAGGTGTTTGCAACGAATTCGATGATTTAAAGGGTGATTTTTGTTTCTGTTATATAAATAAACAATGCTTTTGACATTGTTTAAAAAAACCATTTGATTTTTTTAGTTAAAAAACTTCCCCAAGAAGTGTTGAACACGCTTGCACATGAATTACCCAATGACTGGAAAAAGCTTGCTCGTAGATTGGATATTGGCGATGAAAAAATTGATTGTGTGTTGAGCGAGTTTAATACTGCCTTTGAACAAACCTATCAAATTCTAAACAGTTGGATTAGAAAGTATCCTAACAAAGTATGGAAAGATATTAAAAACGGATTGGTTTATTGCGAAAGGAACGATGTAATTGATAAGTGTGAACGAAGTAAGTTTTTTTTATTTATTATAATGAATTAAGTTATCCGATGTTTTTATCGCATGAGTTATATATAACTCGCTTAAATATAATAAAATAAAGAACACACATGAGTAGTAAGAAATAATGTGATATGAAAAGTTAAAACTAAAACTTAATCTTAAACAATTCAATTAAGTTTGTAAGTATTTCATGCGTGTTCTTTAAAAGTAGATTTGTTAGTGAGCGCGTTCATGGAGTTTTTCGTACACTGTAAAAAAAGTCAGGCCATATTGTTTAATAAAGCCGCCATGTCATGTAGCCCGATTTAACACACGATATTAAAATTTAAAATTGTCACGCGACTTTTAGATATTAGGTTTGGCGTGACATTGCCGTCTTATAGCTATAATAATAGCATAGCATAATCGCATGTCGCCAAGCCCAATATAGCGCGCCACATTTAAATTTTCTAAACGCGGCGTAAAAAATCAAGCTTGGTGACATGCGACACGATAGTGTTTTAGATATTCCGTGACAAATGAAAAATTTTAATGTCACGCCACACTTATTTTAAAAAAGTCGCGTAACTTATAAATGTCACGTCTTACTTAATATTAAGTAAGACGTGAAATTTATAACCTTACTTAATATTAAGTAAGACCTGACATTTATAAGTCACGCGACTTTTTTAAAATAAGTGTGGCGTGACATTAAAATTTTTCATTTGTCACGGAATATCTAGACACTATCGTGTCGCATGTCACCAAGCCCGATTTTTTACGCCACGTTTAGAAAGTTTAAAAGTGGCGCGCTAAATTGGATTTGGTGACATGCGACACGATCGTGTTTTAGATGTTGACAATTAAATTAATAATTAAATAAATTAGCAATAATAATTGGACACAACACCCCTCTTCTGTTAGTGCCTTCCTAGTTGGCTTGCGTCGTCCGGAGAACGTTTTTTGAACGTCTTATGGACGTCTAGACAACCATGAAACGTCTGACGTCCTCAAGACGAAGCATGCCCACTGGGTTTTCTGGTACACAGCAAAATCCAAGATTCTTGTTTTAAGCAAAAAAAAGTCTTAAAACAAGAAAAAAAAGACTTGTTCGCCACAGAATATTTTTTCTTGTTTTAAGAACTTATATTCTTGAAAAAAGATTTTTTTTTCTTGTTTCAAGAATTTATATTCTTAAAATAAGATTTATTTTTTTTGTTTCAAGAACTTATATTTAAAAAAAAAGGAATTTTTTTCTTATTTCAATATTATTTTTACTTAAAATAAGATTCTATTATCTTGTTTTAATAATATTTTTTTTAAAAAAATATTTTTTAAGTGTACTCCAATAAGTTCCATCACGAAGTCAGAAAATGAAAAACTTCATAAAATAATCTTTTGCCACACATAATAATCACTTCGTCTCCAGCGTCTGTTACGTACAGATAAGGATTTCTTATACCTGAAAATAAATTTTACAAACTCAAAATTTAGCAATAATATCTTTTCATATCTTAAAATGTCGACAATTTATAACCCATTTTAGTTTTACTAATTTTGAGGGTTGTGTATGCATGCATACCTACCTGTATTTGGGTAGCAGTGGGCGAGGAACTGCCACCTTGTGTATTCCATAACGTAAAAGTGTATCAATGTCTTCATTCTTGCTGAGTCAACTGTGACAGAAGACTTTAATACATGTGCCATGTCGCCAACAATCTGAATTAAATAATAATAAAAAAAAAAGCATACAACTTTAAAAAGCAGAGAAAACTTATAGAATAACCCATTAGAGGACATAGCAGTTTTAAAAATACCTTCTCATTTATAAAAGGATTTGTGATTTTCAAACACTATTTCATTTTATCCAATAAATATATGAAATCACAAATAATTTTTTTTTTTTTTACCAATAGCACATTAGGGAAACATTGATATTTTTTTAAAAATGCTGCAACTCTGGCAACTCTCTCAATTGGAAATTTATTTACCTAGGTTAATAAATTAAAATTCTATACTTAGTTCAATTAAAATGCACAAGAACAATGTTCTAGTGCATTTACTTACTTTACTTTGCATGTATTTGGAAACTTGCAATTGCTTAAAAGAAAACACACACATATATGTCATATATGTGTATGTATGCAACATAAACATGGATATTTAAAAATAGTACTAATAATAATCTTAAGTAAAAACCAACTGTATAATAATAGCAATAACAATATTAAAACAATTATAACGAGGTAAGTAATCTTAACATTTATATTTATATTAATATAATAATATTAATAATAACAATATTGATAAATATTAAATTTAATATTAACCAATAACAATAAGTAATAGTGATATGAATAGAAGTAAAATAACTTTGATATTTATATTACATATAATCATACCAAGAACAATAATAATGACCCACAATAAGTCCAACATTTTACGAACAGTAATTACATTTCTCCAAAATAAAAAGACATAAAGATGAGTTTTAGTAGTAGAGTTTAGTGATATAAAAAATATAATTAGTGAATATAAAAAATATATTAGTGAATATAAAAAATATATTATTAAAAAAAAATATATTAGTGAATATAAAAAAGAAATTATTCTATGAATAAAAAATGATAAATTATTTCATGATTTTATGCATTGGTTTGTGATGTGATTTGTTATGCTGTACTTAACTGAACAATGATTTAGAATATATAATTTAAGGTTGCTAAAAGAGGAAGATAATTTTGAGAATTTTTTATAGAAAAAGAAATTACAGATTGGAAAAAAGAAATTACAGATTGGAAGAGGTAGGGTAACTTGTGTGTGATTTCAGACAAACAGACAATTTAATAGATGAACAAGAGCACACAATTTGATTTTAAATAGAAAGAAAAGAATATTAGAATAAGAGTGATATTCTTTAAAGTAAATTAACTTGTTTTTAGATTAGATATTCATAAAAAATTATTGGCTTATAAATTATAAGTATATATAATATATCATATTAGAGTGTTTGTAGTATGTTTGAGAAGTAAAATTTATATTAATAGGTACGTGGACTGATTTTTAAAATTGATCCAATACTAGAATGCTATATATCATTGGAAAGCCCTCAAATACAGTATTTTAAAGGTTAAAAAATTATGAAAATTAGACAATAATAATAAAATATAACGTTTTTAGTAGCAATTTTTCAATATGTGGATTTCTTGATAAAACTGTGGTCAAAAAAAATTTCTACATAAATTATTATAACTTTGACAATTCTTATTTAAATATCTATAACTTAGTATCAAAAGATAGATGTAAAAATGGGCTATAATTTCAAACTAGTGTCTAGATAAAGAGCGCATGGAGGGATACAGAAGGGTGCTAATCCGCCATTTACACCTTAAAATTAAAATTAGTAATATTTAAATACAACAAGTTATTATTTATTCCACATCACTAGCAAATATTACAGGTTTATCTTAAAGTTGGGTCTTGGGTTTTGGGGAAGGTTTAACACACCCTATCAAAATTTCATTTTTTTTTTATTACTATCTTTACTAAAATGATTAAATCTATTATAAAAAACAAAAATATATATTTCAACACTATAACAAAGAGTAACTAGTGGTGTATAGATTGCTTTGATGGAAGAGGGCGTATACTGCCCCCCCCCCCCTCTGCAATGAACCTGAAAAAAAAAATTTATGAAAATTTCACAAAAAAAATGTTAAAATGTTTTTTTAAAAAACAGAGAGAAATTAGAATAAAAAAATATTTTAACACATAACAAAATGCATCAGAGTAACCATTTTGTCAAAAAAGACGGATTTTACACTCCAACCTAAAAAAAAAATACACGAAAACAACAAGCCTTTCGAAATAAAAATTGTAGTATAGTATGTATAAATTGCCTTTATGCACCCCCTTTCATAAAGGCAATTTATATACCTAGAGGTGTATAATTTGTCTTTATAAAAGGAGGAGCAAGCCATCCCCCTCCTCTGTCGGAACCAAATAAAAAAATTTTAATTACAATTTAACAAAGAAATCTTAAAATGTTTTTTTAAAGAAAAAGAAATAAGAATAAAAAACTATTTTACCACATTACAAGATGCATCTGAGTATACATTATCATGTAAAGGAACAGATCAACCACTCCAACCTGAGAAAAAATCACACAAAAAAACAAGTTTTTTGAAATAAAAAATGTAATTATTTATTTCAAAAAAGTCACAAAATATGCAGTACCTATTTGCAAGCCACAAAACTTCCAATACCTATTTTTAAGCTACAAAACTTGCTGTACTATTTTTGCAAGCCACAAAAGTTGTGGTACTTCTTTGCAAGCCACAAAACTTGCTGTACCTTATATGCAAGCAACAAAACTTGTGGTACTTATTTGCTAGTCAAAAAACTTGTTGTAATTATTTTCAAGCCACAAAACTTGAAAAACCTATTTGCAAGCCATAAAACTTGTGGTAGTTATTTTGCTGGTTACAAAACTTGCTATAATGTGAGCATTTTTACATTAATTTCATATTCCAATTAAGAAAATTTAAACTTCCCTGATATAACAACAGCAACTAGCTGGAGTTTTTTTTCTTTTGATAGTTAAATATCAGTTCCATCTTGTTTCCAATAAGAAATAGTGCAAATTCTGCCATGTTATTTCTTGCTTACTTTTTTCAAATCTACTTTCATAAATGGCAAAATGAAAACTTAAACAGAAAATTAACAATGAAAATATAAAAAAAATCTAATTACAAACAACAAAATAACACTTGGAACATTGCTACAAAGTTAAAGTAGTAAGCAATAAATTAATTATTATTAATTTTTTATTAATTTGAAATTTATAATTCAAAATTATTGATATAAAATAATATTGATAGTAAAAAAGATAAAATTGTTATTGAATATTATTTGTTATTAACACTTTTATCTTTTATACTATTAATATTGCTTTAACATTATTAAAACACTTTAAAAATATTAACTTAATGATCAAGTTTATGTTTTTAAAGTATTTTAATAAAAAAAGTTATAACTGTTATTGACTATTAACATTAATTTATTGTATACTACTTTATTTTTGTATTTCATAATTAACATGTTGAGATAATGGAATATATAAATTGTATACTACTTTATATTTTAATCATTATTTACCATAGCCTATTAAACAGGCTATTGTGATCAATATTTAAATGGTTTTATTTTAAAATGATAATAAGATAATGTTAATATATTTTAAAAACACTAACAAGGCTTTTATTAATAAAGTAAATAAGTGTAAAGATAAATAAGTGTAACATCACATAAAGTATGTGACCTTTACACTTATTTATTTATGGTGTTTTTATAAAGTTGTCCACTGATACTTTGATCAAAGTATTCTCAATTGTAACTCAATTGAGTTAACAATTAATTCAAAAGCAACTGTTTTATTGAAGTTTTAGTCTTAAACGTTAAGAATTTAAAAAAGATTTTTAAATTTATCAACATAATTTAGTTTTAAAAATAATTATTACTTATACTTTTATTTAAAAAAAAAAACTTTCTGGCATTTACATAAAAAATGCATGTAGAAAATTTTTTAAATAATAAATAGATTGGGATCAACATTCCTTCTACTACAAATTCAAGTGAAAACATCGTTTAAATTTTCATGCAAAATTTGAAGCAAAATAACACATAAAGAAGTTTAGTAAACATACATAAAAGTTATATAGAAGTCACGCTAAACCTTTTTTCTTTCAAAAAGAAACCTTTATTTGCATATTTTTCTAAAAAGAAATACCACAAAAGTACGTTTTACTAAGTCTACCAAAAAAATGCAGTATGCGTAGTAGAACCCTTTGAAACCTATCTGCTCCCTTTTTTTTTCGTTGAAATTTGATATGTGCATTAGGGCATCCCGTACTTTTCAAATTTGTTTAAAAAACTCGGCCCTTATGATTATTTTGCTATTAAATATATACATTAAAGAAAGACATAAATAAATTTATTAGAGTAAAGGCAACATTTGCAAAAATTGACCTTAAGTTTTAAAAAATTAACTCAAATGGGGAGGGGGACCAAAATCAAATTATGTCTAAGATTATCCTATATCGATGGTAAAAAAACTTTTAAAACTTATTTCAATAATGTCAGTAAATATAAAACAGTTTTAAAATATTTAGAGTGGTTCTCAACCGCTCCTTCCTTCAACAACCTTACCCCCCCCAACCCCTTACGTAAGTGTAAGTGGTTTTATAAATGCTTACTTAATATATGAGGGTTATACAAGTTGAAAAGCAAAAATTAAACACATTTTTCAATCTTTATAACTCTACTAGAGGTACTGAAAAAGAATGCTAAAATTTAATGAGGTCCTTCTTACTGCCCTCTCAACTCCTTGTGTGTGAACAGGGAAATATGGAACTACCATAGGACAATCCAGGATTTTTTTTAGCTCATTTATGTTCATTTGACAGGTTAAGATAGGTTCATAGGCCTCTTCCCATGTTATTAACTCAATCAATTTGGTTGCACACAGGTTTAAATGAGGAAGCTAATATGTTCTAGGAGCTAGAGTTCCTGTTTCCTCATATTTTCTAATTTCTAAAATTTTGTTCACAGCAAATTCCCTTTCAATTTTATTTTGGCTGCAAAGTAATGTCTGCAATAAGATTTTAGAATGAGAATTCCATGTTGATGATCTCACATATTTTTCAATAACTTTTTGTACATTTTTATCTTGAAGTTTGATAAGGTTAAGTTGGTTCAAGATGTGCCGTGGCCCTTCTATCCAGGTATGTTTCACTTTGATTTGGAACCACATAAGGAAGTATACTGATACAAGAAACTTAACAATTAATTCTAAGTTTCTTAGGACATCTCCCTCTAACCCATGCTTGCTTATCCACAATAAAAGTAAGGAAGACCCTGTATTGAGCCACCTTGAATGAACTATAGTGCCTGGTTTTTGGTTTGCCAAATCTTCAGTAAAAGTTCCTGAAATTACTGTCTGGCATATTTTATAAGCATATTTCTGATCTGAAGACAACTCCTTTATTATTTCCTCATCAAGTTCAATTAAACCAGGACCTAAAAATATTGGCTTGAAACTGTAATTTCTTTCCATTTCAGTAACCTTGAAAAGCAACTTACCAATTGGTCCAGTAAACCCTGTCTTTGAGGTTGTCTTCCCATCAAGCTCTTCTACTGAATGCCAAAAACAAAGTTTGTTTGTGTGAAGAGAGCATATTAGCCACCCTAATTTTCATTCTAATTTAATTTCTAAACAATGAATAACACCGCCATTATGGCCTGTATTTGTAGCTGTGCTATCACAACCAATGAACTTTAAGCTATGTTCAACACAATGCAAAATAGACCATTGAAATATTTGATTTGCTATATGTTCAGCAGGCTTAATTTTTGATTTTTCACACATTTCTCCTTTCGTAAAATGATGAAGATATCTACCATATTCATCAGTCAAAGTATAGTGATCTTCCTTTTTTAATTAAAGGATAAAACTTTTTGGTTTCTTCATTAAATGTCATTAAATTGGTTTTGTCACTTCTTCCATCAAAGAGAATGCAAGAAACATTCTCAGAATCTAATCTATTCTCTGCAAAAACCTGACATTCTGACATAACTTTATCTTAGGCTCTATGCACTTTGTTTTTGTCCAGTAATAAAAAAAGAGCTGATTCTGGAACAACTTTAGCTTCTACCAAATCTTTTAAAAATCCTGAAGCTATTGCAGCTGCAGCAGTGTTTGAAACTTCATATCTTATTGCAGCAATAGCAGTATTTTGAATCTTCATATAATTTCGCTTTAGTTTGAAATCATCACTTTTGTTTAATAAATCAATATGTTCAGCGTAACTTGAACATTTAAACTCATTTTTAGAGCACTCTTCTTCATCATTACTTTTTTCTGAAACCTCAGCATAGGTTCTTTTTGAATGGCTACTATTTATCATCTTTTTTTTAAACTTTTTTAAACTCTGTTCCTTCTTACTACATTGCTCAAATGCCTTTCGCTTCCTTTTAGTCTCTATGTAGTCTTTTGATCCTATCATAATTTGAGACTGCTCTCCTTCTTTACTTCTCTGTGAGTGAATAAATTCTAATTCTATTATAGGAATCCTCATTGACTTTTCACATTTACAGTCAATATGAACTTTTTTTTCACATCCCAGACAACTTGATTCACTACAGAATAAAATTGCACATTTGCAGTTAGTTATATCAAAGAGTCGTGACAAAGACTTCATTATTTTGTCAATTTCTACTTTTTTAGTTAATCTTTTTCTGCAAATATCCTGAACATCATTGTAAATTTTTTTGATCTTTCTGTCAATGGACTTATCTGTAAAAATAACTGGATGTGAAAAGTCAGAGTTTGCTTTTTTCCATTGTTTAACAACTTCTAACCTTGTTTCCCTAACCAAATCATCTAATGGATATACTTTTTTTTCTGACAACTCTTTAATGAGGATAGCTTTTCGAAGAACAGCACCATAAGTTGGTAGTTCAGATGGAATAAAGTCTCTACCTTTTCCTTAAGATAAAATTTTATCATATTATTATTATTATTATTATTATTATTATTATTATTATTATTATTATTATTATTATTATTATTATTATTATTGTTATTATATTATTATTGTTGTTATGTAATAACATATTAATACTATATCAGTATTAATATGTTATTACATATTATATTGTTGAACAAATTTTTTAGGAGAAAATGTATTATTCATGACTTAATAATTATATTATTTTAAAAATAATATATTAAAAAAAACATTATAAATAATTTCAAAATAAAGCAATTAGGTTTTTAAAAATTGTATACCTATTAAGTCAGACATTGCTGTGCTTGTCTTTTTTCTTGTTTTTATACCACTCATTTTAATTCAATTTGTAAATTTTATTTTTTACTTCAACCATATAGTATTCGTGAATTAAAGTTAATAAAAATATAAAAGCGAATTACAAAAAATATAATGCAAAAAATTTTGAACATCAAGAACTTTTTTGTTTCAAAAATTCTTATGAAATGTAAAAAATATAATTTTATCAAGAAGTTTTCACGGTTTTTTATTGCTTCCGCTTAAAAATGAATTGACGCTTGAAGATAATTTTAAGGTTAATAAAATATAGCAATAAATCAATTTTTGCAAATGAAGACCTATTAATAGCAGCTTTATTTTAACAGATTCTAAATTTAAATATTTTCTAGCAAAAAAATACCAAGGGCCAAGTGTTTATTATAAAAAAAGTTGTTTTTTGAAAAGTATGGAATGCCTTAATGTGCATAGCAATTGCATGCATAAATTTGTTTGAATAATGAATAGACCGGGATCAAGATTCCTTCAACTACATATTTATGTGAGAACATCTACCTATTTTTCAGAACCAAAATAATCCATAAAAAAATTCAGTAACCATACATAAAAGTTTTATAAAAATCAAGATTAATCTTTCTTCTTTCAAAAAAAGTATCTATCTGTATATATATTTCTAAAAAAAACTTCACAAAAATACGTTTGCCTAATGCTAAAAAAAAGTTAAAAAAACGAGCCACCAAATTTTAGCACAATCGGTTCCGTAAATCGTGATTTTTTTTTTTTTTAATTATCATCGCTTCCAACAAGGTTGCAAGCAACCACTAATTAGTGTTGGAAGTTACTGGAAGAGAAAAGATGAAGATTGTAGAGCAAGATAACGATTGACAGACGACTTAAAATATTGCAAATTATATGAATCAGGAAAGCAAGATGAAGGAAGCGAATTCCAAAGAACTGATGTTCGAGAAAAAAAACTAGACGAATAAGAGTTTTTGGAGCACTTAGGAACAGTAACAGAAAAAGGATGAGACTTAATTGAATGACGAGTAACACGAGAATGAATTTTAGTAGATGGCACAAGAGACGCTAGCTCTTTAGAGCAGTGCCCATTATAGTATTTGTAGAAAAGAGAAAGAGAAGCAACATTACAACGATGTGACAGAGGTTGAAGGTTGCCTGCAAGAGCAGGTCCAACTATGTTTACAATGCGTTTTTGCACCTTGTCTAAAAGAGAAAGGGCATCATTAGAAGATCCGCCCCTGATATGGCAACAGTATTCCATACAAGACCGGATTTGAGATTTATAGAGATAGAGAATAGAATCCAGAGTAAGAAAGTGACGAGCTCGATAAAGAGAAGCAACTTTAGCAGATGTTAATTTTGCAACGGATTTGATATAAGGTTTCTGAGAAAGATCAGAAGTAAGACTTAATCCTAGAAGATGAAGGGTAGGAGACTCATCGAGTACATTATCGTTCATAAATATAGGAAGGTCTATATTATTGCGATAACGATTGGCCAAAAAAAATTGAGTTTTATCTGAATTAAAGTTCACCAGCCACTGCGAGCCCCATGCTGTAGCAGAAGTGAGATCCTTTTCGAGCTCAGATGCCCCCTGCAAGCAATCAGAGGGAGTTGGCTTTGTATCGTGACAAGAATAAATGGTAGTATCATTAGCGAACAATGCCACCTTAGATGTGAGAATATCTGGAAGATCGTTAATGTAAATTAAAAAGAGTATAGGGCCAAGGATTGAACCTTGGGGAACCCCTGAGGTTAAAGAATAAGAAGAAGAGTGCTGTCCGTCAAGGACAACTTTTGTACTACAATTGGAAAGGAAGGATTCAATAATCTTAAAGATGTTTCCAGATACACCATAAGAAGAAAGCTTAGGGAGGAGACCAGCATGCCAAACTTTATCAAACGCTTTAGAAATGTCAAGAGCAATGGCCTTAACTTCTCCACCTTTATCTAATGCGCGATAAAACCTATCGGTTATTACTGATAGCAAATCAACCGTAGAACGAGAAGATCGAAATTCACACTGATGATCAGAAAGTAGGTTATGAGATTTGAGATGAGAAATTAAGTGTTTGTTAATTAAAGATTCAAAAACCTGGCTTATGATAGGAAGAAGACTAATGGGACGGTAGTTAGATGATTCAGATCGCTCTCCGGAATTTTTAAAAATAGGGATAACAGATGATGCTTTCCAGCAGGCTGGAAAACAAGACTCTGATAAGCACTTGTTGAATAGTTTTGAAAAGATAGACGACAGCTCAGGAGAACACTTCTGCAAGACTATAACAGGTATGTTGTCCGGGCCGCAAGCTGTAGAAGAGTCTAAGCGGGAAATCACTTTAGATGCAAAAGCTGGGGTGATACGAATGTCGAGCAATGGATCAACCTGTTTGACGGGTATATCAGGTAAAACGCAACTAGTGGCATCAAGAGATGATACTGATAAAAAGTTCTTGGCAAACAATTCAGCTTTGTCTTTGGGTGAGGTGACAAAGTCTGAACCGTACAAAAGAGGTGGAGTTACAGACTTGCCCTTATTATTAATACTATTAAAGATTCTCCAGAAGTTACGAGAGCCTAATTTTTGTGATGAAATACGAGATTTTATGATCTGAGAATAGCGGGTTTTGGCGTTAGACAAAACCTTTTTACAATGGTTCCTAGCAGTAATAAAGAGACGTCTGTTTTCTGGAGAATTGTTTTGCTGATAGATATGGAAGTAATGGTTTCGATTGGCAATTGCAGCAGCACAATGTGAGGAAAACCATGGAGAAGAGTGAGGCTTGACCTGGTATTATTGAGAGGGAATAAAGGATTCCATGCCAGCCTGAATCCACGAAGTTATGTAAGAAGCACATTTGTCAACAGGGAGACGAAAAATTTCTACCCAGGGGCCATCACGAAGAAAGTCACGAAAAGAGTCCCAGTCAGCTTTAAGGTAGTTGTAAGATGTACGATGATAGGGGGATTCTAATGGTAAAGAAGAATGAGATAATAGTTTTAGAGAGACCAAACCATGATCAGACGCACCTAAGGGTGAGTGTGAAGAAACTGATCACTGACTAGGATCAAAAACAAGGTAAATGATTCGGGTTGTCTGGAAAGCGAGTTGGAAAGTTGACTATTTGAGTTAGGGGTTGAGAAAGACAAAAGTTGTGGGCCTTAATGCCTGCAGAGTCACTGACACTAGAGCCAAGCCATTCAGTGTGATGAACATTAAAGTCACCCACAACAACAATATTGGTTGATGGATAAAGAATGAGGGCTTGGTCAATATAATCAGAAATAACATCAAGAAGAGTGCAGTCTTGGGATGAGGGAGAGCTATATAGAACAAAGAGAAAGGTGATAGAGTGAAGTGGTGCTAAACGAAAGCACATAAAAGAGTAGTCTGTGGATTCAAACCTTGTTTCCCGACAAATGGGTGAATTCTTACGAATGTAAATGCCCAGGCCAAGCATGTGACTATTGGAGTCTTTACGAATTAAAGGAAGATAACCATCAACACTAAGATCACAAGATGAGACAGCTGAACACAAATTAGTCTCACAAAGAGCAAGCAGGTCTGGTGAACTTTGCAAGAGATAAGACTCAACAGAAGAAAAGTTACTTCAAAGACCACGAATATTGGTGAATGATAGGTTTAGCGAACTTGGTGATGACTGTGGTTTTTTGTGTTTTATAGTTTTTGTTACTTTATTCATTTTTAAATTTGTTAAAGAACTTGACTCGAAACATTGATAGTACTCAGTACACTGTTCTATAGCTCAAGCAATTGCCTCATTTCCACTAATAAACCCTAAGCCGCAACAAAGGGCTCCAATGTGGCCTTGGCAATGCACACCAAAAGTACAAACAGGGACACCATCCATGCGCAACATGGCACTGTTAGTACTCTGATATTTTTCAGCTGTTGATGGAATCAGCCTCTCTGAGAGCTACCTCAGAGTTCGGGAAACCTGACTACCAGCCGGCCTCAGAACCATAAAACTGAGTTTTAGAGCTGTACCCTCATTTGGAGATAATAGAATGAGTTGCCTAGTGATAAAAACAGAGACACAAGCAAAATCCATGAATCGAGTCAGGAAGATCCAGCGTTCAACATCCTAAACTGGAAACAATGTATTAAAAATACATCTGCGCCAGCCTAATAGATGACGAATGGTTGCGAGGCTGGTCAACAGATAGAATCTGTTTACCCCTTAAGTCTTTGCCTAGGAGGCCTTCTACAAGACAGCAGCCGGATGCATGTAACATCTGCCCAAGATGAGTATTTTTATCGAGACACCATCTCTAGCCTTTACTCAACCAAGAACCCCAAGGCAGGGGGTGTTTTATGTCGGAGTTTGCATCTCTCAGCCTTTGTCTAAAAAGGCATATCCTACAAGGCAGCAGGACATGAAGCAGATTGTACTGGGTTACATGTTACCAGTAGCAGGATAAACCTGACCTGAATGATTTCCGCATACCTAATATTAAAAGAGATTTGCTTTTTAGTAATACAATCTATTTGACTTTAGAAAAATATATTGCTGGTTTAATACAGTTTTATTGATGTTATTCTATTTATGAAAAAATTGGGTGCTAGGTTTGAATACAACAAACAACATTTGGTCCAAATACTTTATTCATCACGAGTTTAATAAATAAGTTGCAGCATTAATTTTTACAAAACCAAAATTAAAGATCCGCTGCCATTTTAAAATCTCTAAACTTTCTTATGAACTTTTTAAACATGTAGCTAAGATCCTTTTGAACTTATTGAAGATGTAGCTAAGATCCGCAGCCATTTTAAAATCTTCAAAATTTCTTATGAACTTTTTGAACATGCGCTCATAAACATAACGCTTGTAATTGACTGTAGGTTTTTAAGTTTTTGGGGCCCTAATGACAGTTTGGGGGGGGGAAGAAAGGCAGGAGGAGCAGAGTCTTTAGCCACACAAAACCTCCTTGATCCATAGCTCGGCAGTTTATTCATTTTTATTAAATTCATTTATTATAAAGAAGTGCACAGCTTCGGAGCACTTCAAACCAAATCGCTCTTATGCATGCTTGCACCTTGCACTTATATTATTCTGCTACTAAGTCGCCCATACAAAAGATTCACTTTTATGCTGTTTAGATTTATGCAGAATTGCAGATATGAATATTGCATTAATTAAAGGCAAATTCTATAGAATTCTTGAAGTATACGACTCTTTGGATTAGACAATATAATTACATAAAATCATAAACACAAGATCTATCAGAGGGTGAGGAGGATTTTCAGAAAAGGAAATTCAGTTGCTTTAATTTCTATGAATTCTTTAATTTTTTTAGGTATACCTGCAGGTATCTACTGATTATCTATTGATTATATATATATATATATATATATATATATATATATATATATATATATATATATATATATATATATATATATATATATATATGTATATATATATATATATATATATATATATATATATATATATATATATATACAAACATTGTTTGTATATAATATGTATACATATATAAATATATATACATATTATATACAAACAAAATGTTACAATATTATAAAATTAGGAACAATTTTTTTTATTGAAATATCTAAAATAAGAATCAAGTTCTTAAAATAAGAACAAAAGTTCTTAACCTAGAATCTTGGATTTTGCTGTGTATATATATATTCGAGTGTTTTTAAAAAATCATACAAACATACAGCATTTTTTTAAACAATATGTTCAGTTTTAGCCTTTTGCAAGTAATTGCGGCAAGTACTCTATTATGTGTTTAACTTTAGTATCTAAAAACACATTCCTTATTTAATTATTAATTATTTCAATACATTATTGTACCTAACTCTAAAGCTAACCAAGCAAAAACATAAAAATGCCTGAGGTTGGTAAGTTTATGCTGACCTTGTTTTTATCTTTTATGGTGAAATCTTTGTGAAAATGGCTTTCCAATTTTCGAAAATGTATGATAAAGCATTTCCTTTAAAAGTGGATGACCAAAGACCTACTAAAATCATCAAGGAAAAAACAAAAATTGTATGATAAACATTTAAAAAATAAAACTTATAAAAATGAAACTAATTACAAAAGTTATAAAAGTTTTTTTGAAAAAACTAAAAAACGATCAAAAGTAAATTACTATGCTAAACTGCTTGAAAAAAACAAAGGAAACTCTCAAAAAACGTGGAGTGTTTTGTGAGATCTCATTAGGAAAAATAAAATTGAAAAAAACAACTTACTGCAAAAACTTATTATTGAGGGAAAAATGATTTATCATAAAGAAGTTATTATTGAGAAATTTTTTTCTTGATGTTGGCCCAAACCTAGCAGCTAAAATTACAGTTAGTCAAAAAAAATTTGATTCATATCTTGCAACAACTGATTTAATTATGGAAGAACCGATTTTAACCAAAAGTGAACTAAATACTGCTTTTAATAGTCTGAAAAAAGATAAAAGTGCAGGTATAGATCAAATTAATGTTAATGTAATTAAATCTATTTTGATATTATCGAACCCTCATTATTCCATATTTTTATTTTCTCCCTTAAATCAGGTCATATTCCAGATAAATTAAAAATTGCAAAAATAACACCTATTTTCAAATCTGGCGGTGATACCAATATTTCAAACTACAGACCAATCTCAGTTTTACCCTGCTTTTCTAAACTAATTGAACGCACTATGTACAAATTTATAAATATCTATCTGAAAATAAGATTTTATTTAATAATCAACACGGTTTTAAAAAAATCATTCTAGTGACCATGCAATAATTGAATTGGTTAAGTATATATCAAATGGATTTAATAGTGATTGACATACAATAGAGATTTTTATTGATTTATCCAAAGCATTCGACACAGTAAATCATGAAATTCTTTTGAAAAAGTTAGAAAACTATTGTGTTAAAAACCAAGTTTACTTTGGTTTAAATCATACTTAACTAACAGAAAGCAATTTATACTTAAAGAATCAAAAGACTCAAAAAATATCTTATAAACATGTGGAGTACCGCAAGGCTCTATTTTGGGGCCATTATTGTTCTTACTTTATATAAATGACTTATATTTATCATCAAAATTATTAAATACTTTTGATGATAAATATAACATCTTATTTGCAGATGACACAAATTTGTTTTATTCTTACATAGATATTACTGTTCTTTTTAAAATATTTAACGAAGAATTAGATATCAATGAGTGGTTTATAAGTAAGCGACTATCATTAAATGTAGAGAAAACAAAATTTATTCTATTCCATAAACCTAGTAAAGCCGAGAATATTCCTCTTAAAGTACCCAATCTTTCAATCAATTTGTTTGTTGTAAGACTCTAATATAGACTTTAAATTTTTTTAAAAGCACAGCGTAACTTAATAAATAGTGTAAATTTTTCTTCAGCCGTTGCCTTAATAGAAGAATTAAACCATTTTAAACTACGCTTCTTTTAGCTAAAGGACACAATGAACTTTGGAATGTGCAGTTTGATCAAAAAAAAAGTACACGTTTTTAAATAATTTGAAGTTTCAACCTGCTGATTAATCGAGAATAAGTTTAGCCAGTCAATATTACTTAGACCCTCATTGATTGCATTATAGTCACCTTTGTTGTAGATATAGTTTACTTTGTGTAGTATGCAAGTTCAATTTGATGGTTAAAATCTGAAACCCTTTAAGAGTGAATAATGAAGATGTTTTTTCTTAGTACATCCAAATGGAGGACGAATTGTAACAACCTGGGTCATCTGCAGCCGTGGCGCAGTAGTAGCACACTTACCTCAGAAACGTAAGATCCGTGGTTCAAACCCCACCTCTGGGTAAGTTTTGCGACATCGGTTGAGAAAGAGGCGTTAACTTCCTATTAAATGCTCTTCCGCGGTGCTCTGAGATAAGACCGTAACGACTTCTTGGGGCATCTAAAATCAACATAAAAAAAAAAAAAACTGTTAGCACTAGGTCAAGTATTATTGATAAAAGTTGGTTCGGTGACAAACTGCGATAAGAAATAATCACTGATATCTAAGTATCTAAAAAAAGTTGACTAGACTGTTTACCACTTTTACATTGGCCACCCAAATCATTCCACCTAATATCACTATGATTAAAATCACCAACAATTAGACTTGAAAAGAGTTTTGGCGCATATGAATGACTTATTGTTTTGTAAGTTATACTCATTTATCACTGTAACTATATAACTAATGTTAATAATTTTATTTCTTAATTTTGTATATTGGAGACATATAAATATTGTTATTTGTAAACGTATAGTAATGTTTGTTGTAAAAAAAAAAATTATTATATACTCATACAATAATACTTATATACTATGTCAAAAGCACTTTTGACATAATATATAAGTATTTAAGTTTGCTTCATTAATGATTAATTAATCTCAAGCTCCGAAAAATTGTGACAGTGTTTGTTGGTAAGTTTTTATTTGTTGGAAGTAGGGCCATCGCGAGTAGGTGTTAAGTAAAAATAGGAGATGGAAGGGTAGGTTTCTTTTGTGTTGGTTTTGTGGGGGAGGTGGGGGAGAGAAGGTGTCCTTTGTGTTTTTGCCGACAATTCAAAGAAATGTTCCTTTAATTTCTCAATTTGTCAACTAATGATTCCCAAACGGTTTTTTTTTTAGAGATCTTGGGGTCACACGCCTTTCTTTCTCTTTGCGCCGACCTTGGCCAGAAGATTAGAAAAAAATATTCAAAAATTATGCAAATAGCACTTAGAAATTATACATTATAATTGTAACTAATACATAAATAATTGACTTTGAAGCATATTTCTTTATAGAAATTTTTAACCAAAATGTTTCAGTATTAAAAATCTGGTTTTAAAAATCACAATTTTTAAGAACTACGCTTTAAAACGTTTACAATTGAGATTTTCTTAAGCACAATTTCTTACTTCACTTATATCGGAATTCTCGATAAGTAATTAAGTAATATAAGTAATGAATATAGTGAATATAAGTAAATTAAATTTTAAAATGAACGTAAGTAAACAAAAATTTTTTTAATTCACTTATATCTGAATTCTCGAGAGTATTAAAAATTTTTCTAGCAATTTCATATGGTAAAATGTATTATTTTAAAACTAAAATATCAATTTTTACTTCAAACTTTGTAAATAACAAAATATTTTGTATTTAATTATCATAAACTAGTCATGTTTTGCTCGTGTTAATAAAATTAGTTTTTATTATAGAACTATTTTTAAATTCAATGTTTCGTGTCCAACCCTCTATGGAAAATTTCCATCCACGTAAAAAAGAACTTGATGAAATACATCGTTGTTTATTCGAGAAACAAGATAAAAAAAAGCCTTTAGTGTTATGTGGAATGTCTGGCGTTGGAAAGACACAAATAGCCAGAAAATATTGTGAAGAATATAGGAAGCTTTATGAAAACATTATATGGATAGATGCGGCATTTGGAAAATTAAGTACTTCAGTGGAAGCCCTTTATCAAAAACTAGATTTTATTGTTAAAGATTCAAAAAAATTTACAAAAAACAATTCTTTTGATATTATTGCAGCTATTGAAAAAATACATAACTATTTTAAAAACGAAAACACTTTGTATATTTTTGACAACATTGACAATGAAAGTGTTAGAAACTTTAAAATTTACATTTCAACAAAACCGAAGTCTTTTACTTTGATCACCACTCAATGGAGAACATGGTCAAACAACGTAAATCTCATGTCATTAGATGTTTTTTCCCCTGAAGATGCTTTAGTTTATATAAAAAACAACATTAAAACAAATTCAGACGAAAAGTTAAGAGAATTAATAAAAGAGCTTGGTTTTCATCCTTTTGCCATCACTAAGGCAATAAAATATATAAACGCACACTCAATTGCTATTGAAACATATTTATATCGATATAGATTGCATCCCGTACAAATACTAGATGATGATAAATTTCCAACCGAAGAAGAATCGATGTCTGCTGTGCGAACTATAAATTTAGTTTTAATAAAATTAGAAAACGATGAAAGCATTTCTTTAAAATTACTGAACTGTTTATCACATTGCGATGGTCAAAATATCAGCAAACATTTTATAGTTCAGATTTCGAAATATATTGGAATAAAAGATGAATACTTCGTTGATGACGCCATAAGATTACTGGTCAGTTGTTCCTTACTAGATTATTTAGGCGATGAAAAATATTCAATGCACGATCTAATACAGTTGTCATGTAAATATTTTCAAAGTAAGAATTCCAGTACAAAAACATTCCACAGTCTTATGGAAAATTATTTTAGATTAGAGTTAAAAGATATAGACAATCATGTTAATTACGGAAAAGACTTTGTTTTTCATTTTTTGCAAATGTTTCGAAAAAATAAAAAAAGTATGACGGAATGTTTTCACCGTTTATCAAGCATTATTTATGAATTCTTAACATGTAAAGGTTTATTTCAAGAAGTAATTCAAATACTTAAAGCTGTTCAAAGTTTCAATGCAGAAACTTATGGAGAAAATAATGAACTAACTCTTGAAACAAATTATAATATTGCAAACTGTTTGTATAAAATGGGAAAATATAACAAAGCTTTAGAAATTTATTATTCTGTTGATAAAATACAAACTGAAACTTTAGGTATCAACCATCCGTCAACAATGAATACAAAAAATAATATTGCAATCTGTTTGAGCCATATGGGAAAATATAACGAAGCTTTAGAAATTTATTATTCTGTTGATAAAATACAAACTGAAACTTTAGGTATCAACCATTCGTCAACAATCGGTACAAAAAATAATTTCGCAAACTGTTTGCATCAAATGGGAAAATATGACGAAGCTTTAGAAATTTATTATTCTGTTGATAAAATACAAACTGAAACATTAGGTATCAATTATCCGTCAACAATGTCAACAAAAAATAATATTGCAATCTGTTTGAGCGATATGGGAAAATATAATGAAGCTTTAGAAATTTATTATTCTGTTGATAAAATAAAAACTGAAACTTTAGGTATCAACCATCCGTCAACAATGGATACAAAAAACAATATCGCAAACTGTTTGTATAAAATGGGAAAATATAACGAAGCTTTAGAGATTTATTATTCTGTTGATAAAATAAAAACTGAAGCATTAGGTATCAACCATCCGTCAACAATGTCAACAAAAAATAATATCGCAATCTGTTTGAGCGGTATGGGAAAATATAACGAAGCTTTAGAAATTTATTATTCTGTTGATAAAATACAAACTGAAACTTTAGGTATCAACCATCCGTCAACAATGTCAACAAAAAATAATATTGCAAGCTGTTTGAGCGATATGGGAAAATATAACGAAGCTTTAGAAATCTATTATTCTGTTGATAAAATGCAAAGTGAAACTTTAGGTATCAACCATCCGTCAACAATTAGTACAAAAAATAATATCGCAAACCGTTTGAGCGATATGGGAAAATATAACGAAGCTTTAAAAATTTATTATTCTGTTGATAAATCAAAAACTAAAAGTTTAGGTATCAACCATCCGTCAACAATGTCAACAAAAAATAATATCGCACTCTGTTTGAGCGATATGGGAAAATATAACGAAGCTTTAGAAATTTATTATTCTTTTGATAAAATACAAACTGAAACTTTAGGTATCAATCATCCGTCAACAATGTCAACAAAAAATAATATCGCACTCTGTTTGAGCGATATGGGAAAATATAACGAAGCTTTAGAAATTTATTATTCTGTTAATAAAATGCAAAGTGAAACTTTAGGTATCAACCATCCGTCAACAATTACTACAAAAAATAATATCGCACTCTGTTTGAGCGATATGGGAAAATATAACGAAGCTTTAGAAATTTATTATTTTGTTGATAAAATACAAACTGAAACTTTAGGTATCAACCATCCGTCAACAATCGGTACAAAAATTAATTTCGCAAACTGTTTGTATGAAATGGGAAAATATGACGAAGCTTTAGAAATTTATTATTCTGTTGATAAAATACAAACTGAAACTTTAGGTACCAACCATCCCTCAACAATGTCAACAAAAAATAATATCGCAAACTGTTTGAGCGATATAGGAAAACATAAGGAAGCTTTAGAAATTTATTATTTTGTTGATAAAATACAAACTGAAACTCTAGGTATCAACCATCCATCAACAATTGGTACAAAAAATAATATCGCAATCTGTTTGAGCAATATGGGAAAATATAACGAAGCTTAAGAAATTGTTTATTCTGTTGATAAAATACAAACTGAAACTTTAGGTATCAACCATCCGTCAACAATAGAAACAAAAAATAGTATCGCAATCTGTTTGAAAAAGTATAACAATATAAAAATATGAAAAATTTATAGGAAAATTTTACGAAGCTTTAGAAATTTATTATTTTGTTGATAAAACAAAAACTGAAACTTTAGGTATCAACCAACCGTCAGCATTTATGACAAAATTCAGTATTACACTCTGTTTCATTAGTAGAAAGGAAGATGGAAGTTGTTTTTGACGTTGATTATTTTTTTTTAGTTTTGATTATATTTGAATATATTATTGACAGTTTATTTGTTACAAACAATTTAAATGAAGTACTTCTTAGTTTATTAATTAAAAAGAATAATCTTAATAGTCTTGAGTCACATCATGGAAATGAGATTTGTTTAATTTTGAACTGGAATTTGTTATTTATTGAGAAACTATTGTTACTTATTCTATGACTGTTAAAATTATTTTGTATAATCACATTCTTATTAAATGAAATAAAAAGTTTAACCGAATTTATAAAGTAATAATTAAATGAAGTAATAACTAAAATAAATGAAATTTTAAGATTTCTTTTAGGAATAATTAAATGCTTATATCTTAGAACATTTCGATTTAGGTTGTTAACAGATCTTGTTTTGATATCTCATGATAACACCTTCTATAGAAAATATTTTATATATAGAAAATAATTGAAAAACTGTTGATAAAACCTTTTCATTTATTGTTTTTTTGTGAATTATAAAAATATAAATTTTATTTGTTGAATTAAAGTTTAAATAAGCAATTTGTTTAATAATAAGATGCAATTGTTCAAATGAAGGATTTAAAATTAATAGTTCCGTAATAGTTCCATAGGTTTGATGCCGGTATATTAAAATGCACTTCAAAATGATTATGCTTATTGATTCACTCTACATATTTCTTCAAACATATACAAAATATAGAACTACTTAATTTTATAAGAGTTACAATCTAAAAGCGTAGAAAGTTTAAATTTTTAAATAATTTTTCTAATTACTTATATTGCTTTATTTTTTAGCTAGACTTAAAAGAGTGTTTTGTTTTGAAAAAACTATTAATACTAATGGCTCGAATATTCTTTGTCCTTCATAGTATTGTACAGTATTAGCCAATCAATTAGATCTTTAACAGAATTACAAAGAAACTGGAAACAAATAGTTTTTAACTTAAATAAAATTGTTGATAATGAATATCGACCCAGTATTAATTAATGAAATGAATAAAAAAACCTTCAAAGCATTTTATCAAGAGACAATCAAATTAATTTCTTCCTGTAAATTAAAAACTTCCAGTGTCAGCCCATAAACTGCGCCATGAATCAAAATAAACACTTTTGGACCTGATAACAATTTAAAGAAAAGTCCTAAAATTTCTTCGAGCATCCATATATAATAATGTTAATGTGAAATTGAATCCTTAGATATTATGATCTGATATAAAATTTTAAATAAAAAGCTTGCACAAAAAGGATCTTCTTGGAGAATCACTTAAAGTTTTAAACGGGAAGCTTCTCAATTTACCGGATATGCAGAGACTTTTTAAATTTTACTTTGTTTTTACTGTTGTTAGTGCTTTATTTAAAGGTAATGCCAAAATGTCTAAAACTTGTCCAAAATATGTTCCCGAAACAGTGGCGCCAATTAGCTAACTTCCAGACATGGAGCAAACTCCAAACATTTATGTTTATACTTATGTCAAATACGGATGTTTTGCAAAAAATTTCAATGATTGGAGATTGGGAACAAAAAAGCCCTAAAACTTTGGCCTCCCCTTTCCAAAACGTGAAAGCAACAAGTTAATGAAATATTTTTTGTACTATTTTCAACTAGACTTACATTCATCGATAAACTTTAAGTTTCATTGTAATTTATTTTAGCGTTCAAAATTTATGGCCATATAAAGTTTAAATCCCCCTCAATTTGAAGGGGTTGCAGATTTTATATGGTCATTCTTTTTAAATGTTGAGAGATAATAATATGAAACTTAAAATTTATTAATCAATATAAGGGGGGCCAAAATTATGGAGCTTTTTTTGTTCCCAAGCTCTAATCATCATAATTTTTTGCAAAGCATTCTTATTCGACATAAGTATAAACGTATAAATGTTTAGAGTTTGCTCCATGTCTGGAAGATCTTAAAGACCAAAAAATGCAATTGGCGCCACTGGGACTTGAAGCCACAAAGAGTGAGAAAGAATTCTTTTAAGATTCGTGCTTGCCCTCAACCAAGAAAAATTGCAAGAATGGATAATTTTATTTTGTATTTAAAAGCACACTCAAAAGCAAGTCAACGTACATCTTTTGCAGTATATCCATAAAATATGGATTTCATTGGTTTTGAATAACCAATAGATTAGTTACCAACACAGCTTAGTTTTGAGATATAATGTCTTAATACCATTAATGTTAAATACTTTAGCAGCTGCAACTGCACATTATTTTTTCTTCTAAAACAGATCTTGCTGCTCTACTGAGCTGCTAACTTGTAAAAGCACCATTTGATTTCATCAGGGAATTTCCAGTCTTGATGGGTCCTGATTCTAAAACACTTTTCACTGAGTTGTTCTTTGTGTAGCGGCCTTTTTCTTTAAGATTTGTGTTTCAAAATTATAGAGTTGAGAGAGGGTATTATCGGCCTTAGGGAGGTGAATTAACATAAAAAATCTATATATCTGCAATGTGCATTTGGTCAGTCAAAAAGTCCGCCGATCTATAAAAGGTGAATCTAGAAATATCAAGTGCTGAGTTTTTTCTCTCTTGTAGAAGAATAAATGGAAAAAGAGCTAGTATTGCTTAGAAATTCAATCTTGCATTATTTAATTTAGATTTTTTCTGAAACTTCATTTCAGGAAATACTTGAAATTCTTCAAAAAAGCAGAATACCCAAGTTACATGAAATAGAAACTAAGTTTCAAGCTAACCTGCTGTTTCTGCAATTACTTCCTTACCTTTCTTGAAATTTATCCTGAGTTGTTTGTAGTTCTATGCAAGTTTTGGAATAAACGGATATTCGATATTGGGTGAAATATTGCTTCCTCCAAGTTCTTCATTCTTTACTATGCTAAGAAATTGGTCTAGAACATGATGTTGACTACCAGCTGGTAGTTGACAAACAGCTGGTAGTTTAAAAGCATTCAAAACTGATCTGCCCACAAAAAAATACAACAGAAATATGTTTACTTAGTTGGAGATATAAACATTGACATACTCAACCATGCTTTAAATGCTGAGACTTTTTTATTGATATTATTCTTGAATATAGTCTCATCCTAAACAAAGCAACAAGAGTATAACTAAAATATCATCAACATTGCTAGATAACATAAAAACTAAAAAATTTCATAACAGCCGTTATATAACGAGTATTATTAGGACTGACTTAATTGATTATTTTTCTATATTCTTTAATACTGAAAGCATAACTCTTAACACTACTACCTTTGAATCCACAATATTTATAAGACAAATAAATGAAAGTGTCATATGTCAATTTAAAAAATTATTAAATGAATTGCAATTATAAATTAAAATCTCACAATGTAATTCTTAGTTTAAGCAGCCGTAGCCAGTGGTAGCGTACTTGCTTAAAAACAAAAGATTCGTGGCTCAAACCCTACCACTGGGCAAGTTTTTTGACATCGGTTAGCAAAGAGGCGTTAACTTTAGACTAAATCCTCATTTGCGGTGCTCTCTGATAAGTCCGTAAAAACATCTTGGACTAAATAAAAGGAAAAAAAAAATAAAAAAAAAACTAATGCTTATGATTTATTTCTGAACCAATTTTTATAAAATGTATGAAAAATTTTCTTTAAAAGTAAAGTTAATAAATTCTAAGTCATTTCTATCTCCTTATTACCTAAGGTCTACTAAAATGATCACGGAAAAAACCAAAACTGCATGAAAAATATTTAAAATATAAAACTTATAAAAATGAAATTAGTTACAAAAACTATTAAAAAAAAATTCGAAAAAATTAAAAAACGATCAATAGTTAATTATGCTAAATTGCTTGAAATTTACAAAAGAAACCATCTAAAAACGTGGAATATTATTACAATAATATTCTCTATAGAGAATTAAATATAAAAAAAAAGAAACTGAACAGTTTTTTCCTTGATGTTGGTTCAAGCGGCGAAAGTTCCATAAGCTAGGTGCTTGAGTAAGATATGAATGAAATTTTTCATTTATAAAATAATTTGATTTATATCTTACAACAACTTAAATAATTATGTAACCAATTTAAAAAAAAAGTAAACTGCATAATGCTTTTAATAGTCATTACAAAAATAAAAGTGCAGATATTAATCAAATTTATGTTAATTTATTAAATTATTTATTAATTTATTCTGTTTTTATTAGAATTAATGTTAATGTTATTAAATCTGTTTTTAATATTATCAAACCCTCATTATTCTACATTTTTAATCTCTTGTCTAAATTAGGTCATTCGAGATAAATTTAAATTGCAAAAATAATACCTCTTTAGATGAGACTAATATTTAAAACTACAGACCTATTTCAGTCTTAAATAAGACCCTGCATTTCTAATTTAATTGAATTTAATATGTATAAAAGACTATAAATATTTAACTGAAAATAAAATTTTATACTGTCATCAATATGGTTTTTCCCGTTTCTTTCAGTAAAACATCTTTGTAACTGACATTAGCCAAGTCCTTCTTCCAGTTTTTACATTAGTAATGTCCGTTGAAATACTCTTTATACTCTTACATAAATTGCACTCATCCAGAATAGCTGTTATACCTTTAACAACGGTATCCGTCTGGTACCCTTACGGAAATATTTCATGGAAAACCCATGATATTCCATGAGTAAACCATGGTTTTCGCATGGACAACGGAAATTCCATGGGTGAATTTCATGAAAATTGAAATCCCATAGAATTGCCATGGGTGAACTATGGTTTTTTTTCATAGCTTATGCTGCGCCATGGTTGATACGAATTTGCTTTTAAAGATGGCGTCATTGCTCGTAGAGTTACGATTACTTTTAACTTGAGTAAACAATACATACTGCATTCTTCTGTTTTCCTGTGTTTAGTAAGACTATAAATTATTATAAATTTAGTTTAGTTTGAATCATATAAATTATTATTTATATGATTCAAATTACAGACATAAACAACTAGATATATTTATCATATTATAATGCATTATAAAATGGATTATTGGCGGACTTGTATACGACGCACCCCCTTAAGTTTAAAACACGTTTTATCGAAAATGCTATTTTACTGACCAAGTAAAATTAATTAATTTAATTATTTAAAGTGTAATTACCTCAATTGATCATAAGTGATGAATAATATTAAATGTAAATGCTTTGACTAATAAATAGGGATTAACACAACGAAATATACATTTATTATTTAACCGTAAGAATTGGGACAGTTTTGGTCACGATTATTAATATTTCATAGGGGGTGCGTCGTGTAGAAGTCCGCCGGATTATTTTTAATTATATTTAATTATATCTTTTATGCATATACTTATTTTAACTGTTTCCAGTAGCTTTGCCTACTTTGCATAACTTGCAATAGTATAGCAAGTATGTCAAGTAAGCTGTTTAAATTTTAATGCTTACTTGGCAAATTATTTGCCAAATAATTATTATTTGGTTTACAACAAATAAACGTTTAGTTTTAGATACATTAAATAACTAGTGTATTAATGTACATAGTGTAATCTAATGTAAATTAAAACTAATATAATAATTATTATAAAACTTATCTAACATATTAAACAAACTTATCTAATATATTAATATATAAGCAGTATATCAGATAAGATTAGTTAACTAATATAAGATAAGATAATAAAATTAGATTACCAATGTACAAAAGATAACTAGTACGATCTTTTTTATTTTTTTTTTTATATTAGCCTTAGATTACATAAAAATTCTTGAAGTTAATTGTATGGTAAATGTTCATTAAGTATTAAAAAACCTTTTTTTTTATGATAAATGTTCTATTCAATTTTAGTTCTGTTAAGTTGTTTTTGTCTTTTTGTTGTTGTTTTTTCTTTAGAATCATTAGAATATGTAAATAATGTAATATAAATATTTTTTATA